CTTTCAAAGGGCTTCCTCCAATGTCGGGGAAAGCCCTTTGAAACCTCTGAAGGCACCGATCACGGTGGCGAGGACCCCCAGGGAGGTCTCCCATGGTGGCGTGCAAGCCCTGGGAGACTTCCCTGGGGGTCCCCACCCCCATGATGGGTGGCTTCGGAGCTCTTTGAAGCCAAAAAGGCAGGGAGAAAGCGTGGGAAGTTCGAACTTCCCGCGCTTTCTCCCTGCCTTTTTGGCTCCGGAAGCAAGCCGGAGGGCCAGGGAGGAATCGGACCCCTCCTTCCACCCGACAGTGAGTCCCCTTCACGACGGCTGAGCTCAGCCCAGCACGAAGAGGACCCAGCGTTGGTTGCAAGGAGGCAGCCGATTCCTCCCTGGCCAGCTGGCTTGCTTTTCCAAAGGAGAAGCAAGCCGGCGGCCAGGGAGGAATTGCAACCGATGCAGAGTCCGCTTCACGCCGGCTGAGCTCAGCCCAGCGCGAAGCGGAACGCGTTGGCTGCAAGGAGGCAGCTGATTCCTCCCTGGCTGGCCCTCCCCCGTGGCCGCTCTGAAGCGCCCGCCAGGGGCCTATGGGGAAAAATCGTAAAGCGATTTTCCCCCATAGGAAACATCGCAATGCGATCGCAAAAAACGAATCGCTATGCAGATTCGTCGTTAAACGGGGCGCTCGTTATGCGAGGCACCACTGTACATACATTTTGAATGGAGCTTGGCTAATAGCAAAAAATGCAATTGTCTAGCATATTATTTACCTTAGGGTTTTTTATTTCCATTGGCTCATTTAATTCTGGGTTACTGAAATAGTCTTGACACATTCTCTTTACCATACCATGTAGCTCTTCAAACTCCCTGTATACATCTGGGAAGGGTGCTTTTGCTGAACATTTTTTTTCTACCTGGGCAAAAACAAGGGGTACTTAAAATAGAAGCATGCTCCTAAGTCGCAAGATACAAGCTTCATTCATGTCAATTACAGGATTACACCAGCTTTTCTGCTTTAAAAAAAAAAACTTATTCTCCTTTTCTGTCACAGTTGTCTGCAGAAGTTTACATCCCTCGCCTTGCCAGCAGCTCACTGCTGTTAAACAGTGAAGGGATTGATAAGAAGCTGAATTTTAAAAATAACAGAAGTTGATTCCCAAGATTAATTTAAAAGCGTAACTTCTGGCTGCTAGCTGTAGTTGTTTGGTATACCAGCCTCTGGAATCTTTTGAGGGAAATTACTGATTGCAGTTGAAAACAGTGTTGTGAGAAGAATAATATTTTACTGAGGCAAAAATACGCTAGTTTTTAATTCTCTAAAGAGTGAAATAGCAAGCAGTACTCCATCCACAAACTAGGAGTTTAGAACAAGGCAGAGAATGTAATAGCTCTCACCTTTTCAGTCATTCTATTTGCAATTTTCTGTGATCCTGGCTTCACCCAAGTTTTTTTTTCATCAAAGAATGAGAAAACCCACTTTACAGTGGGGTCTCTACTTAAGAACGTCCCTACTTAAGAACAATTCCACTTAAGAACAGCTCCATTTGCTAAATTTTGCTTCTACTTGAGAACAAAAATCCAAGATAAGAACAGGAAAAAAAAACGTTCCTGCTCTTTTTTTAACCTTAGGTCATCTTAGGTTAAAAAAAAGTTCTCCCCATAGTGGTAGAGTACGTATTAACCAGCTTTGCATTAGTTCCTATGGGAACTAATACTTCAATGTACGAACGCACCTCTACATAACAAAAAAACAGCCAGAACAGATTAATTGGTTTTCAGTCCATTGCTCCAAAATTAGCTTTGTCAGAAGTGCTTTTAACACTGTTCCCTGACCTAAGGGGAAAAAAAGAGAAAAAAATTTAAAAATATCCACCTCTAGTGGTAGAAGGCGGAATAGCAGCTTACCATTAGTTTCTATGGACGGAAAAGAGCAGATACGGATTAAATGGTTTTCAATGCATTCCTATGGGAAATGCAGATTCTACATAAGAACTTTTCCACTTGAGAACCACCTTCCAATACCGATTAAGTTCTTAAGTAGAGACCCCACTGTAATGGGTTTGTCTATAGACACAGACAAGTTTTCTCAAGAGCTCTATGGGTTTGTCTACAGACACAGACAAGTTTTCTCAAGAGCTCTCATTAAACTGTCACATATACCTGCTTTTATTTTGTTTTATGGTGTTTGTAAGCTAGTCTTGAGATTCACTTTGAAGTGAAAAGAAAGGGTAAAAATGTTAATAAATAAATTACTTACCTTCTTTAGCAGAAATTCAAATACAGTAATAAGAGTTGTAAGGCGTGGAACAACCAGCTCTATGAAATCTTCAATGGAGGATTGCTCAATCAGCTGTTGGAAGAACAGCATAAGATCTTTAGAGAAGTCATTAACAATAACCAGCTACCGTCAAGTCAATTCTGACAACTTTCCAGAGTTTTCTCTGCAGAAAATGCTCAGAAGTCTTCCCTTCTTCTCGGAGCACCCTGAGACCGTGGAGCTTGCCTAAGGCCACATAGGCTGGCCCAATTCACAGGATCAACATTTCTATAATATCAGTGTCAATTAACAATACATGGGGATAAGTCAACATTTATATAATAGCAGTGTCAATTAACAATACATGGGGATAAGGAAATAAAACTACAAATAAAGTCACTGAAAAGTGCCAATGTTAGTAAAAGGTTTCAATCTTCATCTTTAGCATGAGTGTAATGTATAAAAAGAAAAAAAACCTAAGAGATACTGCATATTAAATGCAAAATTCTTCAATGTGCATACCAGATGTCACAGCAGGCATAGTAATTATCTACTGTGGCTCACCTTTTCCTCTCAGAAGATTCTGAGAGGACTGTTTGAGGAAGCAAGACTTCCAACTTTAAAGCAGGCTTGCTAACGAATAAGTGCTGCTGAGTTGAGTGGGCTCACTTCTGAATAAGTACCGTATTTTTCTGTGTATAAAACACTACTTTTTCCTAAAATCATTAGAGGAAAAATTTACGGTTGTTTTATACATGGAAGGAGGTGGAGGCAAAGGAGCTGCCATGCTCAGCTCAGCCACCTCTCGCGGCTGCCCATTGACTGCTGCCGCCGCGGTCCAATCACCTCCTCCAGTGCGACTTGCCAGGGCTCACCTTCAGTTCACGTTGCCACCCTGTCCCCTGCCTGAAGGGAGCCCGCAAGTGGCGCAGGAGGCACACTCAATGGTTAGCAGTGAGAGGCGGCCAAATGCGGCTGCTCCTTCGCCTCCATCTCCACCTCCTGCTGCCTCCGCCGCTGGACTGCCTCCTCCAGTACCACTCACAGGCTCAGCAGCAGCAGCAAGAGATGGAGGCAAAGGAGCAGCCATGCTCGGCAGCCTCTAGCTGCTACCCATTGACTGCTACCGCCACTGCTGCCAGATCGCCACCTTTGTCTCCATCTCCACCACCTGCTGCCTCCGTTGCTGGACTGCCTCCTCCAGCGCCACTCACAGGCTCAGCAGCTCCGCCGCTGGACTGCCTCCTCCAGTACCACTCACAGGCTCAGCAGCAGCAGCAAGAGATGGAGGCAAAGGCTAGCAGCAAGAGATGGAGGAAAAGGAGCAGCCATGCTCGGCATCCTCTAGCTGCTGCCCATTGACTGCTACCGCCACGGCTGCCAGATCGCCTCCTCCAGCACCACTCACAGGCTGGCAGCCTCTAGCTGCTACCCATTGACTGCTACCGCCACTGCTGCCAGATCGCCTCCTCTAGCACCACTCACCGGCTCCCTTTGGACAGGGACAAGGTGGTGACGTGAGCTAGAGGTGAGCCCCGGCAAGCCGCACTGGAGGACGTGATCGGGCAGCGGAGGTAGCAGCAGCAAGAGGCAGGCGAGGAGCCATGCTGAGCCATCCCTTGTGGCTGCCCATTTACTGCTCCTCTGCTTCTGGCAAGGTAAGGGGTTGTCTTATACATTGAGGGGTTCTCTACATGGAAAAATATAGTACTTATAATGTTGTGCACGCATTTCAGCCCTAGAAAATAAGGCAATCCAATTATCACTAAATGATTGTAACTTTGAATAATTGTGAAAGCGAGTCATACCTCTTTTAGCCTAGCTTTCCTTCTAAATATACTTTGGTGTTCTGCTGACATATTATTAAGAGACTTGGAACGGAACTGACCAGGTCTGTTAAATCCTCCAGGGGGGTTCTATACATGGAAAAATTTAGTACTTATAATGTTGTGCATGCATTTCAGCCCTAGAAAATAAAGCAGTCCAATTATCACTAAGTAATTGTAACTTTGAATAATTGTGAAAGCGAGTCATACCTCTTTTAGCCTAGCTTTCCTTCTAAATATACTTTGGTGTTCTGCTGACATATTATTAAGAGACTTGGAACGGAACTGACCAGGTCTGTTAAATCCTCCAGAATGCCTTGATCTTTCAGTCTTCTTTGACTGACTGAGCCTTCCTGTCCGTCTGAGTCTTCCAGGGTCCAAGTATAACCGATGGCTGCTTAGCTGTTGCACAAACTTTTTATCTTCTGCAGATGCATGTGACTTCTAGAAAATGTTAAGACTTTTAAAGCCTTGCACGTACATATTGATTAGTCAGACTTAAACAACTGTACTAAGTCTATGAGCTGTCACCTTCAGTTACTATGATAGCTTTGTGGTCTATTTTTGCTGCACTTTGTTGTCACTGTAACAAATGATGATAGAATATCAGATAGAACAGTGTTTGTGTAGCATTGAAATTACCATGCAACAGTTTTTGTCTCCTGCTTGTAAACTCACTTCAAGAAGGCTGTTGCAGATCAACAGAAGCAATGACCATTAGTATTTTTTTACTAATTGTTGTTGTTTAGTCGTGTCTTACTCTTCATGACCACATGGACCAGAGCACGCCAGGCCCTCATGTGTTCGACTTTTTACTAATAATCATCCCTTAATGGTTGTTGTATGTTTTTTCGGGCTGTTTGGCTGTATTCTGTTCAGAACATGGCCAAACAGCCCGAAAAACCTACAACCATCGGATCCCAGCCGTGAAAGCTTTCAAGAATACAGCCATCCCTTAACTTTCTACCTATAGGTTGCTGCGGGTTTTCCGGGCTCTTTGGCAGTGTTCTGAAGGTTCTTCTTTCTAACGTTTCGCAGTCTCTGGCGAAACGTCAGGAAGAAGAACCTTCAGAATTTTGCCAGTTTCTAGCTATAACTTCTCATAATGCAAAATATTTAAAAACATTTTAAGTATGTCATGTTTTGCTAATGAAGTATTAACATTCATCTGATTGATACAATTCATTAAGATTTTATATAATATTGCTCATTATAATGAGTGTACAGCATGGTTTTAGGGTTCTCAATACACTGATTAGAAAAGGCCTTTTTACCAGTAAACAGAAAATGGCAGATGGATACTTACAACACTTGTCTTTCTAGTGTGCTCCAGCAAAGCCGTCCCATGAGGCCTGCTTGTAGGGGAAGAGAGTGACGGTTCTTGCTGTCCATGGTCTGGATTAAGTTTATAATGCCGTGCTAATCCTCCTTTGCCTATATAGGACTTGTCACAACTCTGACATTTAAATAGTTTTGGCCTCAGGTTGTACATCAAGGGATCAAATAATGAACACATTGCCTTCTCTTTGTCACCATCATCTTCTAAACTCAGCTCAGAATAGTCATCAGAATCAGACTGGTGACAGTCAGCCAAGTCTTCAGTTTTAATGAATTTGTAATCCTTAATTTTATATTTAGGAGGCTGTGAAATCCGTCCAGAACGTGTTTTCACCTTTAAGGGCTTTTTAACTTTTTCTTTTTTCTCATGGTTTGTAAGAGATTTTTCTGAACAAATTGAAACCCGATTAGTACTTAGAGAATCTACTGCAGCTGTTGCATCAGTTGCATTTGTTTGTCCGTGTGTAGGTATTTTAGCTACAGTCACTTGTCCAAGGGGAAGTAAAGGGTTCTGCAGCAGTAACTGAACTGTAGGTTCAGAAGAATTACAGATGAAAAACTGCTGTGACTCAGTTCCTGTAAGAGGCAGTAGTCGAATAATCTGAGGATTAACAACATTAAATTCTAACTTCTTGGAATTCTTCTCAGTTGGCTGAATTATAGACTGGACTGTTGAAGGACATAAGACTGACTTTTCTTTCTGTATTGTATGATCAGATTGTACTCGAACACAGATGGATTCCAAGTGCTTTAAAAAAAAGACAGTTACACGTAAAACCTCATACATAAACATATATAGTAAATTTACTACAAAATTCAGGCTTGACTAATTGCAGACTTAGTTCAGAGGTGCCTGTAGTAGGTTTCAAATTTTCATCTGATAGTGTGGGTTAGAATGTTTCTTTCAAACTTGTTACAAAATGGTTGCCAATATTTTAGTGGCCTAACAAAGGTATCACCCACCCTTCTCTTCAGACTGCATACAAAAACCACAGTTTTGTTAAGGAGAATTGTTAGTGATTATTTCTTGTTTGAATGCCGTGTTGCTATTTTGCTGTTTTTAATTTGCTGTACACTGCCTTAGTGGCTCTTCAGAGAAAAGCAAAAAAACCCATTCTGTAAATCAATAAGCAAACACACAAATACCCAACCATTAGGCATCTTATGTCCTAATACAGTAATTGGTTTTGATTTTAAAAATGCATCTTCTGCATCCAACAATCCCTTTAAGGCAAAGCAACTAGCAGTAATCAAGTAGCAGGGAGCCTGTGACTCTCCAGATGTTGCTGGATTGAATAAGTAAGTCTGTGCTTGATGAGATGATAGGAGTAGCAATCCAGCAACAAGAGTTAACATTACATACTGTAGTTTGCCTTCCTACCCTTTTGATCCCTACTGAAAAACCCACCTCTTTCATAAAGCATTTGGTTGAATCCACTAAACTACCTTCACTGGTGTGGTACCAACCAGCTGTGATGGATTATTCCCATCACCTCCAAGCAGCATGAAGCACCAGGTTTGTGAAGACTGCAGTGCTCCTTATTAGAGATAGGGGCATTCGTATACGAATACCCTGCACAATTGGTGTTAACCAAGGTCCAGCCCTATGGGGCCGGACGGTCCACTCACTGATCTGATGCGATTCTATGAATGGTTCCGCAACGCCTGATCCATTCACCACTCCTGTGATTTTACAATTGAGTGGTCTGACACGGTCTTATACAGCTGTACATATGTTATTCAAATTGGGGTTTGTTTGCTCTCTTGTTCAATGCTGATTTGCTGTTTATTACTGAATTTTATTTTATATTGCTGATGCTCTTTGTACACTCACTGATCTGATGCAATTCTACGAATGGTTCCGCAGTGCCTGATCCATTCACCACTCCTGTGATTTTACAATTGAGTGGTCTGACACGGTCTTATACAGCTGTACATATGTTATTCAAATTGGGGTTTGTTTGCTCTCTTGTTCAATGCTGATTTGCTGTTTATTACTGAATTTTATTTTATATTGCTGATGCTCTTATTGTAGGCTGTCCAGAACAGTGGCCTGACCACTAGATGGGCGGGTAAAAGTTGAAATAAATAAATAAATATATACATACGCATGCATGCAGAAAAAGCAGACGGTAGTAATCCCATTTTCGACTTAAACATTAGTCACCCTTCCTCCCCACTGCACAAAAATGCTTCAAAAGACCCAACGAGGCTCATTTATACCTTGAGGGGAAGGAGCCCGGGGGTGGCAGCAGCCGCTTCCCCCGATCTGCCCTGAGGAAGAGCGACCCGCTGGGCCGTATCCTGCAGCGGCCGGGCCCAGTTGGGGAGTCCCCTGGACACCGGCGGCACAGACCCCGAAGCAAGCGGAATGAAACCTTGAGACTGGGAGGCGGAAACGGGCAACACGGCGACGCCGTCCAGGCCCGGCGACGAAGTGGCGGCCTCGACGACACGGCGGTCCGGCCACCTTTCCACGGCCGCTTCCTTGCCAAGCGACGGGCGAGGCGCCTCGTCCAGCAGCGCCGTTCTCGGGACATGCGTGGCCGCCGCCGCCACCTCCAGCGGCCGGCTCACCTTCTCGCACCCGACCTCGGTCCCCAGCCTCGGGAGCCTCCGGTCTAGCTGTGGGTGCCCGAGAGTCCTAGAGCCAGGGGCCGGTTCCTGGTTGAGAAGGGCACTCTTTCTACCCAGCTCCCTTCCCTCAGAAGCCGCCATCTTAGTGAGCGGTTGAAGGAGACGGTTGGACCACGCAGGAGCCTGGCCACGCCCCCTTCCGCACCCCGGGCATCCAAGAAACTTCCTATGCCGTGAAAGGAAGGAGTTGAATTGCAGCTACGGAAACCGTCGAAGGACAAAAGTGGGGAGCAACGAGGGCGGGCTCCGCGTTTTCCCCCCACGGTGTTCCGCTGTGCGGAAAATAAAGAAATTTGAAAGCGAGCATAGGATTGTAATGGCGGAGGTACAATGTATTAGGAGACTGCTGAGATCTTAATTGGGATTCTTAACACGGACGCGATGGACTGATCGTGTGCTCGCGATAGGAGGCATCGTGCTGTGAATGCCCAGTATTAATAACGTCATTTCTACCAGCATTTTCTGCATTTAATTTTCCTATACACAAAGCCTACCCGCAACTATGCGTGCCTATCAGTGACGTCCGGGATCTGTCTGGTTGTGTGGGTTTTTGCTCTCTTTCCGTGGGATCTCGTCCATACGGGCAATGTTTATGCGCATAAAAACAGAAGCACATCGTGGACGTTGTACATTCGGCTTGCATTACCGAGAAGCAGCTTTTAAATCTCCCACTCCCCTTTTAAATTAAAAATATTCCTAAAGGAAAAACACGGGAGTTTCCAAGGCACTCGTATTCCCGTTTACCTTGAAGCAAGCTACGTTCAACGTGACGAGATTTATTTCTGAGTAGACGTGCAAGGGTTGTCAATGTAAATGAACTGAAACATCCCCAGTATTCTGCTTTGCCTAGCAAGATGTTCAGATCTCTGCAGAGAAATAACCCACAAGAAAAAGCTGAGACGCCTTGTACTTAACCATGGGGCCAAGCCTTCCTTTTTGCATCGTAGGGATATTTTAATCTTTAGCGTCAGTATTTGTTGTTAGGAAACTAAAAACGACGTACCGTTATTGTACTTCTCCGTTACTTCTCTGTAATGTTCAATTATAGATGCACATTCTTCTCTGTAAAAAAAATGGTCGTGGCCCGTACGGGGATCGAACCCGCGACCTTGGCGTTATTAGCACCACGCTCTAACCAACTGAGCTAACCGGCCAGTCGTTAATGGCTTTAGTCTGTCCTTTATTTCTCATGCTGACGTAACCAATGCTTGCCAATTCGATTATATTTCTTTCGTATTTTTCGCTTCTTTTAATCGGAAGCTTCTTTCTTCATTATTAATCCAGGCAGGGCAGATCTTCGTGGTGTTCGATGTGACTTCTGTGACCCAAAGTAAAAGAAGTGTTTAGGCGTGACTGCTGAATGGGAAATCAGGTTATTCACAATGTTTCGACTCATGCGTGTGTTAAAGTAACCGTGTACTGTACTATATATGTATATCTGCTTATGTCTGTTTCCATGCACAGTATGTATGTTTCAGCAGACACACCAACAAATGTTGTGTTCGTTATAGAACAGCTATAAAGGGATCCAGATGAAGCGTACACGGCTGATTCAATTTTCACGAGTGTGCAACCGCCCATATGTGCAACAGCTGCAGGAATCCAGCCGTTTGGGGCATCATAATTGACGGACACACAGCAAGGTGAAAATAATCCTCTTATCTGATGTCTTTGTTCTGGACTGTCAGAATTCATGCAGGAGCGATGCAACATCTCCAAAGTTTTGGCAGATCCAATTATGAAATAACTGAGAACGTAATTTTGGCATCTTTTATCTTTTCACAGCAACTTGATCCTTGTCCCTCTTGAAAAGATGGTGACTCCTGCCTCTCAAGATCTACCATTAAAGACATGATTTGGAATTAAAATATGCAGTTAAACACCTTTGTTTCAGCAAACGTTCTGGACTTCGACTCCCAAGCAGCATGGATAAGGGGCAAAATCTGCTCTTATACATATTTCCTGGGTGCCTGTGCCCCACTATACAGTAATTCCCCACCTGAGTGCTCTTAGATTTAGGATTTCCGTCTCCTTCTCGTTTGGCACTTCAGTAATAACCCAACTTCTTTGGAATTACGAGCCGGGCACTGCATCAAAATTTATTGCCACACATGAGCTTTTGATCCCGAACACTAGAAAAAGTGGGCTGCAACTGATTTCCTCCCCCCACCCCCAAGCTGCTGCTGCTGCTGCACCTTCAGCTATAAAGCCATAAACCTGCCGAGATTCTGCGCACAAACAGAAAGCACAGAAAGGCTTGGATTGACACAGAATGCGCAAAAAGAGGGAGGGGGTGAGCGCAGGGAGGTGAAGGGAAAGTACGCATGCGCAAGCGGGGAGAGCGAGAGAGAAAGAGAAAACCAGCCTCCCGCAGACATGAAGCCCGCCCTTTGGTTGCCGCAGTCAATAGGAGAGGGCGGAGGTGAGTGACTGCGCTTGCGTCGCCCTCGCGGCTGCTGCTACTGGTTGGGGAGGGCGGGGCGGCGCGGCGGGCACGGTCGTGCTCTCGGGTTGAGGAGCTTGACGCTCTGGGGTTGCCAGGGTGACGGGGATACAACATGGCGCGCTGACGAGTTCGGCCGCGGGGAGGGGGGCCCCTGGCGCGTCTGAGGGGGACCCGCGTCCGCACCCCTCCCGCCCCCTCTCAGCCGGGACGAAGCGAGCGGAGGATGAACAGTAAGGGGAAGGTGGAGGGGCGGGGAACCGAGGAGGGCCGGTTTGGGATGGGAAAGGAAGGGCCAATGCTTGGCCCCACTCCCCTCATGGGGAGGGTTGGAGAGAGATTGCGGGGAGGAGGCCGGAACCCCTTCCCTCCCGGGTTTCCGCTCCTTCCTCCTTTCCTTCCTTCCTTCCTTTGCTTGGCCGGGTGGAGAGGAGAGCAGGAAGGCGAGCTTTGGGGGGGGAGCTTTGGGTCACGGAGAAAGGGGTCCACTACCCACTTCCTATAACTGGGCGAAAAAGGGCGAGTACCTGTATCATTTGGGGGGGGGAACAGGGGAGACAGCATCTGTAATCCAATAGGGGCGGTCAGATGGGGTTGGGATCTGGCCTCTTGCCTCGCAGGTGACAGACGAGTCCTCCCCAGCCCATCCCCCTCACCCGTGGAGCAAGAAATTTAGGACCCCTCTGATGGGTGATGATGAACTGTGGAAGTGGCGGACTCTGGACCCTTTGGTCTTGGAGGAAGACGAGAACCATGAGGACCGGTGGACATTTGGGGACATTTTATTAAAAAGCATCTGGGAAGGATTGGTTGATGACGAGGACACATGCTTGGATTCAGTTAGCAGCACTGCCTGCATCTCAGGTTTTGAAGGATGATGGAGGGGTGTGGAGGTTGCAATCTACATTTGATCCCATAAGCAAGTTCAAACATGAGTGATTGGCCTTTCTGATCAGATTACTTCAGAAAAATGTCCAGACCCACCCGTAAACTCAAACACAGGTTGCACATGGGTGTGTAGGAGTGAAAGACTTGACAGGATGCCATTTTCTATTACTGTATCTTACTGGACAACAGCCTTCCTAGGGTTATGTGTATGCTGTTGCATCTAAAGCAGGAACAATGGAAAAGAGGAATTCTGGAGGAACCTGAGGTCGATGAGAACACATGATTTTACAGTATCTGTAAGGTCCAAGTGCATTCTAAGCATCTCCACTTTCAAAACTAGAAGATCCACTCTGCTCAAGATCCTGCCAGGCAGAGTAGAGACAATGCTGGGAAAGATCTGATTCATTTTGTTGTCTTTCTCCCAATTTTGTAAACAAGGGCATGTCAGTTACTCAGTGAATTCTCCAATGCGCGGTTTCAAAGCACACACTTCTGTTTTGGCTGGTAGTAGAAGCACACTAAGAAGCATGGCAATTCCCACATCACAAAACCTCATAATTAAATTTAGATGGCGCAAAAAAGTCAAATTAAGCCAAATTGAGAATATTGCCAAGTAGTTAGAAGCGGAGGGGGGAGTCCTCAAGGTAGTGCAGTTTCCAGTAGTGGCAGATGCTGCTGCTCCTAGATAGCTGTTTGAATTATGTTTTATAGTAAAACTATTGCTTCTTGACCTTTTGGCTAGGATTAAGTGTAATAAAACAAAAAGGGACATGAAACAGTATGTATGTTTTGCACATGTTTTGCAGATGGATTGTGTGGCTTTGTTTCTTGTTTCATTATCATGACTAGAATCCATTGATAGTCTCATCCTTCATAGAATTGCGTAATACCTTTGGAAGCTATCCAAAAGTCAACCCCATCACTACTTTTTTTAGTAGAAAACTCCATACTATGTGTTGTGTGAGGATATATTTCCATTGTCTGCCATAAATCTCCAAATTCAGCTTTTACAGATAACCTGTGTGTTCAAGTACTGCTGGGGAGAGGCACAACTTTTCCATATTCCCTTTTCCCACATCACACATAATTTTACATATCTCTTTTGATATATATAAAATTAGCTAAAACCCCAAATACTGAAATCTTTCCTCATAGGGTAATTACTCTAGTCACTTGATCATTGTGATTGCCTTTTACTGAACCTGGCCTTTCCAGCTCTACAACACCCCTTTACAGGTTTGGCAGCTGAAACTGCAGAGTGCCATGCCATAAAATGGTATAAAGACATTAGAATCCTGAACATTTTATTTTCAGTTCCTTTCCTAATGATCACCAGGATGGAATTTGCCGTTTTCAGAACTTCCATACACTGGAACAATATTTTCATTGTGCTATCCATTACACATTTCACAACTTAGATACTTTCCATACAATAGAGTCTCACAGTGACTCAAAAATTAGCTACACTGCTTGATGTATCCTTTATGTTCTTCCTGATAATTTCTTTTTTGGTTTTTATTCATATTGCTTTGCTGAAAGATAACTGAGCATTGGTACAATGAATAATCTGGAAACCTGTAAAATCTACAACATTTTTTTGTTATATACATCTTGTATAGTAACTTGTTGGATGTAGTTCCTATTGGGAAATGAGGATTTTGCTTTATATTGCATATTTGTGTAACTACACAAGACCATGTTTTGCTTCTTGTATCATAGTGTTCACATTTCACCTTTAATTATTGTTTTTTAAATCAAAGCGAAGGGGAAAATGACATCAAGATAATAAACACTCCCCCGTGATATGATAGCTTGCTGTTTTGGAAACAGAGATTTGTTGTCTGGACAGAAGTATAGAATTCATGAGCCATGTCTGTTTGAGTTACACTATAAATAATACCACAAATGGAAGTTTCCTGCAATGGAAAAAAAACAACAGTGCAGAAAAACATATCCCTTTTCATTTTATGACATTATAAGCAAAACAATTGTAGAATCTTGTGGAAACTCTTATGTTGGAAAGAACATTTCTTATCCGCGGAAGAATAGTTCAGAAGTTTTTCAATGGAGGTTTGCTCATTTGTGGTTTTGGACCGCAAATTCTAGAATTCTCCAGCAGAATTCTGGGGCATGCACCCCACAAACAGAAATTTGAATTCATCTATATTTTGGGCCCCCAGTCTTAGTTCTTTGGGAGGCAATCTCCACAGAACCTAATGGGCAATGAAACTATGATGCCTAAAGTCCTCACATCTGAGCAGTCAACCATCCCTGACATCATGTAATCAAGCAGGGGGCCGGGCCCTCCTGAGCATAATGCTTGGAATTATAGTCTCTCTGTCCGTTAGGCTCTATAGCGGGTATGTCCCAAAGGACTGCAACTCCCAGGAATCACCACAGCAGGAAGGGAGTGGGTGATAGTAAATGAAGTTAGAATTAGAGATAAATAATCCAAAACTCTTATCTAGGAGGGAAAAATCTAGAGGTCTATATACTTGTGAGATGCATCTCCCAGAATTCTACCTAGGGAATTCCTAGACAGTTCTGGGGGTTGCAATCCAAAACCACAAAAGAGCATACCCTACAGATCAGTGTGCCAGCAGGAGAGATAGTGTTCTAAATACAGTTGTGTAATTGTGCAAAAGGTGTATTAATAATTAATTAATTAATTAATTATAATTATGCAAAAAATGCCACAAATTAAGAAATCTCTACAGGCATTGAGGTATACAGTAGATAATGACTATGACGATTCCTTAACTTATGGCAATTTGCCACTTAAAGGTGTGCCTTTTGTGTAACTGCACAACAGAATTTTGGCCACTGTTACAAATGATACATAATTCTATGTGTGTGTATGATCTCACACTGGAGTCAAAGAGGAGCATCCAGATTACATGTGTTGGTACGATGGTCACTGTCTGGTTCATGTGCTGTGGTTTTATGAGAGGATTCCATGTGTGTAAAACAAGCCAAACTGAGCCACTAAATATACCTTACTTTGAGCAATGGTAATGCTTTCCACTTGTCCTTTACTTGTTTCTTGTGATGTGCAGCAACTTCAGATTTCCAAAGACTAGACTGACACATAAATGAATAACATTTTCCTCTTCAAACTAAAATAGAAGAACATTGCTATTCTACACTTGGCTTCATAAGAACCTGAGATATAGTTGATATATGAAAAGCCTCTAGGAATTTTTTAAGCAAACCTAAATCTCCAGCAAGATGGAGCTTCTTGTATCCATAATAAAGGCTTGACTTCCATAATCCTTCAGTAACTCATAGGACTGTACATTATTAATGAGAGTTGGTTGGAAGGACTCCGTTTGTGATATTTTGGGGCAAAAAAGAAATAGGCTGTTTGAACTCATAAGCCATAATTATGAATATGTCTGCTGAAGCAGAATTTAGTTAAACAATTCTGTTAAATATGCCACTTATACTCAACTCCATTTTCTTTTTAAATTTTGACCCTTTTAGAATTCAAAACAATTGGTAAAATTGGTGAGGGAACATTTTCTGATGTTCTGAAGGTACAAAGCCTTAAAGATGGAAAATATTATGCATGTAAACAAATGAAACAACATTTTGAAAGGTAGGTTGAACTGCCTTTTATATGTTCATTTTTTAAATAATCTCAAAATCCGGATATTTTGTTTAATCTTTACTAACATGTCATTTAAAAGGAGATTCTCAATATTTACAAATGAATTGTTAAAAAACTGTAAATGCCTGGTGAGAAGATTAACTTTACAATTATTACATCTTATGACAGCTTGATTTGACTAACAGTGGTAGCAAGACTTGATCTTGGTGAACAGTAATTCCAGAGACATCTTCCTCTTGCTATACAAGCCTGCCAGTGTATTATGCTTATTCTCAGAAGCACCTCTTCGTGCCCCACTTCTATCAAAGGTTAGGGTGACTCTTCTATGATGAGACTCCTGATTAGAAATTCTCTTCCAGAGCAGTCCATATGTTACTTTGTTGAGTTGTAGGCATCCTTCAGTCTCGAGAGACTATGGTATCGTGCTCTGTATGGAGGTCTTGGAACAGCGTCTAGTGCGGCTGAGAAGGCCAATTTGAGAGTGACAATCCCTTCCACACTGGAGACAAATATAATCTGTCCCCTGTCCAGTTCCCTGGTTTTGCTCATTTCGGGACTGCCTCTTTGCCTCGGCCTGCTGAACAAGTGCCTCTTCAAATTGGGAGAGGCCGTGATGCACCGCCTACCTCCAGGCTGAACGCTCAGACGTCAAGGTTTCCCATCTGTTGAGGTCCATTCCTAAGGCCTTCAGATCCCGCTTGCCGATATCCTTGTATCGCAGCTGTGGTCTCCCTCTGGGGCAATTTCCCTGCACTAATTCTCCATACAGGAGATCTTTTGGAATCTGACCATCATCCATTCTCACGAACTTTGAGTGGCTTCTAATGTAGCACTATAAATTGTTGCCAGACAAAAGAACTATGAAAACTTCTGGTGTATTCATGCAAGCTTGTACATGTGCCTCAATACCCTATTTCCCTCACCCAGTTTGCAGACTACACACAACAACATTTTGTTTTAAAGGAGTCATATTTATAGAAGGGGTTATAGTCAAAATTACAGCAGGCCCACTTTGTAGCCTAATCTTTTCACTTTTTGAATTGTATTTTAGTATTGACCATGTGAACAATCTGAGAGAAATACAGGCGTTAAGACGACTGAATCCACATCCAAATATCCTTACATTGCACGAAGTGATTTTGTAAGTGCGCATGGCTTCTTCTATATTTGAACCTTGGGTGCTTTTCACCTGAAATTAGGTAGTGGTATTTAATGACTATTCAATTTGCCCAGCAAGTCTTCATTGGAATATATTCTAAGTTGTAAAATTTTGTGTATTCCCCTGTGAAATGACAAGATTCTGTCTCTTCCGGTACCACTGGCAAGTGATAATACTGGGACTAGTACTAATCTTTTCAGTTAATAAGAGCTAAGAACACATTGAGAGTGTTGTTAGTGAACCATGTATACACAGATTTTAAAGGATAAATCACCTTTCTTCCTGCCGCATTTTTGGCTTCTCGTTGTAATTTTGTTGCCAAAAGTACAACATCAATAGTAGAAGAAAGAGGCAGTTGAGAGTTCAGGAACCAAAGCAATGAAAGAACATCACGTTTGTAAGACAGAAGACCCATTGTATATCGACCACCCAGAGTAGGACCACGAATGTTATCTGGTAGGAAGAGAAAATTTTTTTTGACACAGTAATATATTCTGCTACCATAAAGAACCCTCATAAATTCAGAACCATTTTTTTTTGCCAGAAACCTAAGTGCTGTTTGTATACTTTGCTGTCTGCAGCTTCCAAACATGAACATGCATGACGTGACAACTCTGGAATACTGTGTACAGCATTTTAAACTGAAAGAGAAAAGTTTAAGGAAACATTGTAACTTCACTGGGTTGTTGAGCCCCAGCATGTACTGTAGCTAAATTAAAACAATCTTTTCTTCTTTAGTGACAAAAAAGCTGGTGCTGTTGCATTAATATGCGAACTTATGGACAAGAATATTTATGAACTGATCAAAGGTAGGTAAATTATGCCAATACAGGAAAAGTTATCTTGTTTGTTTGCTGTTCATTGAGTTTTGCAAAAACCAGGTGACGACTATTTAGTATTAACTAAAACAGTAAGTAGTACCTCACTGAGATCTTGAACATTAGATGTGATAATGCTTGCAGTTGCAGAGATAACTTAGAAGTGCACACACAATACCTGTTTTTGGAAGTAGATGGTTTTATATGTAACATTTGAAGGAAGGTAAAGGTTGCAGAATATATGGCATTTGAAAATCAGTCAACTTCTTTAGTTTAAATTGGCCTTTGTAAAAAAATGTATCTTCTAACTGTTTCAAATTTCAGAGAGGAAAAAACCATTTCCTGAAAAGAGAATAATGAGTTATATGTACCAATTATGCAAGTCTCTTGATCACATGCACAGGTAGGACAGCCTTTTTCATTCATTTTTTTGTTTATTTGGTTTTTTACACCTGTTTAATGGAGCTCTTGAGAGGCCTGTGCATGCATCCACATTGTGCTGTGAGCAGTGATGGTGGGGGTGGTATAGAATCTCATTAAACATCAAATGCTTCTTTCAAATATCTCCTGATCCCTCAGGCTTTTCAGGATAGATATAAGGAATTGTTTTGGGAACACCGGTGATGGGGGAGAGAAAACCGGTATAAATAGTTACATTCTCCCTAAATTCTTCCTTTGTTGCAGGAATGGAATATTTCACAGAGATGTGAAACCAGAAAACATATTAATAAAGGTAAGAAATCTTGATTACCTCTGTGGCAGAAAATAAAACGAGGCTCCCATTGCAAAACTCTTTTGCATATTTTTATTGAGTTGATTCATAATTATTGGGCCTATTTTTTCTTGTCTAGGTCTGTGATTTGAAAGAGCATTTTGCTCATTTAAAAAAGGGGTTCACGTCAGATGATTCTGTTAGATAAATAATAGTTTTGTTGTTGCACTTTTTCCAAGTGATTCATGAATCAGTTATTTTGTGCCATCAGTTATTTGAAAAAAAAAGTGTCATGGCAAAATTGCTATTTATCTAATAGAAGCATCTGTCATTTACTCATCAGCCACTTCACTCTTTTTCTGTCACTGCTGGCAAAAGAAGCAGGAATCTTTTATAACCAGAGCAGTCTTTTTTTGACCCATTTAAAAAGGACAAGCTTGGTTTTTTTATGAAGCAAGCTGCCCTATCTCTTCCAAACAACATAGGCACTGTACATACAATGGATTCAGAAGTGAATTAATGCCAGTCTTAAACATTTTTGTTAAATGGGTCTGATTCTCTTCTACTTTCAAATAAAGCATTATGAATACTAAGGTTCATGAAATGAATACTAAGGTTTACTTACTTTACAGACTTGAAGTTGCTGCTTTGCTTCTTTTGCGCCATTTTAATTTTATTTGAATGCTTTCTTATTTGGAATATATCACTTTCCTTATTGCAGCAGGACCTTCTCAAGTTGGGGGATTTTGGGTCCTGTAGGAGTATACACTCCAAGCAGCCATATACAGAATACATCTCAACACGCTGGTACAGGGCACCCGAATGTCTTCTCACAGATGGCTACTACAATTACAAAATGGACATATGGAGTGCTGGCTGTGTGTTTTATGAAATTGCCAGGTACATTATTTATATGAAAGATGGTCTGATTTAACTTTAAAATACAGTACAGGAAGGCTCATGTGAGGGGTAGACTTAGACAGACAAGATGGTAGAAAGCTGCCTTACTGTATGTTGAGTCAAACCCCTGATTTATCTAGCCCAGTATTGTCAGCTCTGACTAACAGTGACTCTCAAGGGTTTCAGGCAGGATTTTTCCTAGCCCCACCTGCAAATGTGGGGGGTTGAATCTGGGACCACTGACCCACTGACCTATACCCAGTCCTTCAAAGAGGACCCTATATTCCCTGGTAGCCTGTTATCCAAATATTAACTAGACTTAACCAATGATTAACTTTCAAACCTGGACAAGATCAGGTGTATTCAACATGATATGGTATGACCCTGTTTGGGTTAAGGATCAGTCTAGATGCAGCAGAATACTGGGAAGAGGCTGAAGCCCATTGGTAGAGTATGTGCTTGGCATGGATGAGTTTCCAGATTCAGTGCTTAGCCAGTCAGTAAACATTAGAAATGTGCTGTTGGTTGGTTTTTACTCCGTCTCCCAGAACTCTCAAATAATTTCTCAGGCAGAATTATGGGAGTTCCAGCCCACAGACCCATACCTACAAACACATATATTTTGCTCACCTTATCTTGGAGGCTGTGCAACTGTCTTGGATCTTGCATCTGATTGTACAAAAAAAGGAAGCTGTTGCAGTGCCTCCTGGAAGTTGTAATCTCACTGTCCTATAGAGATTGTCTTCTAGAGAGTTACTACTGCCAGAGAGTTACTTCTCCCTGGGAGTTACTATTCTCCCAGAGAGTTACTACTCCCTGGGAATTCCCTTTTAAAATTATTTTTATATCAGTGACAGGGAGCAAAGCCTGTGATAACCATTCAGCTGTGAAGATAGACCCTGGTCCAAGAAAGCAAAATATACGCAGTTGCAGATGTGGCTCTGTGAGCTGGAATTCCCAGAATTCTGCTTGTTGAATTCTTGGGGAATTTTGGGAGTTGAAGTCCAAGAAACAAAAATAAAATTCTTCATGGCACATCTTTTGTAAACACTGCTTAGCTTGATCTTTGGAGTGGCTCAATAAGACAGCTTCATGTTTTATCACACATTTCTTCTTTTGTGTGAAACAATTACTTACTGGCACGTGAGTCCCATTATGGAACTGGTGGAGTATGTGATGCAGCATAAGGTGGCTTCAGACCAACGCAAGACATGAAAGCATATGGTACAGATAGCTAAAACTAAACCTATTATAGTCTAGTCACTGCCTAGGGTGCAAGATTATTGAAGAACCATATGTAAACTACTGTACCTTTAAGTCTATGGGAGAAAAGAGTTACATAAAAACCAGAATCCTAAGATTATTAGTTAATTGAACTTCTTGGATCATGGCCCTTAGGAAACATAGGAAGCTGCCTTATGAACTAAGTCAGACCACTGGTTCATCTAACCCATCACTGTCAGTTCTGACTGGCAGTATTTTTCCAGATTGTTCCTAGTACCTTCTGGTTGTCTCTCATCCAGGTAGTAATAAGGCCCAGACCTGCTTAGATTCTGATAAGATTGTGTTCAGGGTAGTAGGTGGAACCTTTGCACCTAGTGATTCACTACTTCCTGATACAACATTTGTTTACTTCTGTCACCATGATCTGAATCCTCTACTGTGCTTTTTACATTCTGGAAAATACTGATCTAAACAAAAGGAGTGAGGTATAGTCTCCTAAGTAGCAATTATATTAAAATATTAACCTCAATATATGACATGAAAGTAAGATGATTTACCAGTGCTAATTTTATGTCAAACTGTGTTAACAATACTATTTAAGACAGAGAGTAGATGTTTACCTCTCAACAAAAAACCCTTAACTTTCATGATCAGAATTTAATTTTCAACAGCAACAATTCCATTCCTGTTCTGTTTCCAGTTTCCACCCACTCTTTCCTGGATCTAATGAACTGGACCAGATATCAAAAATTCATGATATTATAGGTACTCCTCCTAAGAAGATTCTTAATAAGTTCAAGCAGTAAGTACAGTTTACTTTCTGATGCATAATGGTGCTTTTCACTTATTAATATATTTATCTAAAATACTTATTTAGGAGAATGTTCACCCTTTATAGTGAAGAATGTCCCTTTACTACTTTGCAGTTGAAATAGAGCATAGACTCACAAGTTTAGTGTGGCCTGAGCCCAACTTATTTGGAGCTCAGAAGTTTAAGCACAAATCATCTCATTTTGCAAAATGTATCAGCTTAAATCTCTGAGACAAGAGGGGTTCCAGTTTGTGCCAGCTTGCATTGTTTCAGTGCCCTGTTCCCACTCTGCAGCTCCCTCTCCCCATCCACATACAGGATATCATACAGTGGTGCCTCGCTTAACAACGTTAATTCGTTCCAGCGAAATTGCTGTAGAGCAAAAACGTCGCAAAGCGAAATAAAAAAGCCCATTGAAACACATTGAAAACCATTCAGTGCATTCCAATGGTCTGAAAAACTCACCGTCCAGCGAAGATCCTCCATAGCGGCGACCATTTTTAGTGCCTGCAGAGCGAGGAATCTGTCCAAAAACACAGCGGGGAGCCATTTTGAGCACCCGGTGGCCATTTTGAAAACCCGACAATCAGCTGTTTTGATCGTCCAAATGTGAAGAATCGGTGCCGGAAGCAGGGAACCGATCTTCGCAAAGTGAAAAAACCCCATTTAAAAACATTGTCATGAAGCAGATTCGTCGTTATACAGGGTAATCGTTAAGCGGGGCATGACTGTACTTGCTTTTCCTCCTCACTGTAGAGTATTAGATAGATTAAGAAATACTTCCACCAGTTGGAAGATCCTGAGAATGACAATAGCTACTGGTTAAGATATTGAACTGTCTCTAGTAGATATTGAGCAGCTGTCTCTACTATGAGCTCAGCTGGGGTTTAGGCAGCTTACTGTCTCTTAAAACCTCTGCTGTCACTCGCAAATGGAGATATACTGTAATACTGACTGCATCATCCAGGTCAGATAATGTGTTTTACTTGTAAATGTAAAGTACAATAAGATTTATTTTTACTGTTGAAATATCATTTTTGCCTTCCATCTGCATGGGTTGCAGAGCAGACACAGATTGCAGAGCTGATTCCAACCTCCGAAGCTGGAAAGCATTAGGCTAGGTGAGGTTTGGTTGGGATATGGATACGGTATAGAAGACAAGACAGCCTAGGGAGCTTCACTCTTTGCTTGCTCCAGAGAACCTGCAGTGTTAGTGGAGTTTCCTTCTACAGAAATTCTTTCAGGCTCTGACGCTTCAGGCCTGCTTAATTTATTGACACCAAATGCTATATGGATCATATGTCTATAACTGAAAGACACCTTTATTCATGAAAAGGACAGCTGAAGTATTTTAGTTATGTCAAGCTTGCAGTATGCTTATTGTGCTTAACAATAGAGGATGAAGAATTATTCTGACTTATAGTTCCACTTTCTTTCATGCACATTTAGCATCAATCAGAATATGTTTTGACTGCATAGTGTCTTTTCTGATTGCAAAGAAGAAAATGTTTTGGCAGTTCTCACAGTGATGAAGTGGGACTTCCCACCCTTTGAAGGGTGAGGCATTCAGATGAGAAGGAATTGTTTTCAACCCTGAAGATGTGTTGGATTGCCTTTAACCTGTCATCACTATAGTCTACCTCCATCCCCTTCCTTCACTCCAGCGAGCCTAACATTCAGTCAGTTGACAGGAATGTGTCTTCTTTCACTGAATTAATGCAGGTCAAGAGTGATGAACTTTGATTTTCCAATCAGAAAAGGGAAAGGAATTTCTCCATTTATACCTAGTTTGTCGAATAAAGGGTTAACACTTATGTATGCAATGATACAATATGATCCTGATGAGAGAATCTGTGCCCGTGAAGCACTACAACACTCTTACTTCAGAGAACTGAGGTGAGCAAACACTCCCTGTTGCTTGACTATAAACTCAACTTACGTTTAAAGTTTGAAACTTTCCACTTGGTCAGTCTTAAAATTAGTGCACTTGACTATTAGATCTGAAGCATTTAAACTTATCTTCACCATATTTTAAGATTTGAGGGGAAACGGCTGTATTTTAAGTCACTGGTTAGCATAACTTGAGAAACTGTTTTGACTCCAGCAGATGCAACTGAATTTCATTTTGTCTGGCTTTGTATTGAACAGGTTGGCAGAGAAACAAGCTTTGACCACGCGCAGAAAAATGAGATTAGTAAACAACCCATTAGAAAGGGAGACTCTCAGCTTGCAGCGTATTTCAAAGGAGGATCAAAGGCAGGTAATCTTTAAATCAAAGACTAAGAAATAAACCTATTTAAGTAGTGGCATTTTAACTTACTAACAGGGCTGTCCTATGTCAAACAAGATAATTTGATTAATAGTCCTTGACAGGTGAAACATGTTTTAGGATTCTTACATCAAAGACTTCCAGGACTTGTGTGGATTTTTGTTATATGCAAACATTGGCTGCTCAGTGAGATGTGGAGGTTCAGAAAGGCTTTGCATAAATATGCATTGTATATTAGTATATTTGCACGCTGGAGCACCACACAGCCTGGTGACATAGCCCAGCATTACAGTATTGTATCTGGAGTCCAGGACTTCTTTATGGAAACCCGGTGAAAGCATATAATGAAGTCATGCTTGAAAGCTAACATAGAGTGACTTGCACATTTCCTGGAGATGATCCTATGAGCATGATCCAATTTGAACTCATGCTCATGCGATCACTGTGCACTGAAATTGAAATGTGAAGCGTCTGCCTCTGCCACCTGCAGGGCCAGATCCACATTCACAATCAACCCAAGCAGTCACTTGAACAATAGTTAATGGTACCAACAAAGCATCCATTCAGTAGCTCCTAAAGAGATTTTATGCAGTTTGTAGTTACAGGCAAAGAACAGAAAACCATTCACTTCACTGAAGCTTTTCCAGGATTACTTCAGTGGGGTGGGACACATCAGATAAACAATATTACACTTAAATTAGCGTTGAGATTCACATCTTGTTATGATGTTAAGGCATCATATTTAAGCTACCAGTAATACCACAACCTTTGTTTCTCCAATTTGTGTGTAAAAACAGTCTTTCTTACAAAAATAAAGTACCGTATTTTTCCTTCCATAAGACGCACTTTTTCTCTCCAAAAAGGTGGGAGGGAAAGTACATGCGTCTTGTGGAGTGAATGCAATAACCCAGGGTTCAGCCACTACCACCCAAAAGCCTCCCACTGCCATGCTGGGAGGCCTCTGAACTAGCAGCAGAGACTGCTTGCTGTTTAGACCTCACCATTCTGCTCTGCTAGCTTTCTAGGACCTGCTTCCTGCAGTCCACCTAGAAAACCAGCAAGGCAAACAGGCCTATGGCAGCAAACAGTAAAAATAGCTAAGGACCAAAGGGTGGTTCTAGAAACACCAGGGGAAACCATAAACACAGTCTCCCAGTTAGGCAGTTGATCTTCCCATGTTTGGGGAAATCACAGGTGTCAGCTCATCTGAAGTGCAATAGATGGGCCTTACCCTGGGAAAACCACTTTTACAATGGTATCTCCCCTACCAGGTCTGAGTTTGAATGGCCCCTAAGCCTCCTGGCCCTTTGTGTGCCCTACCCTCCCAAGGCATGGTGACCCCCGGCTGCACCTCCTGATCAGAACAGGGCTGCACAGCCCCAATCCCAAAAGAGGCCAGGAGAGCTCTTCAGTGTTTTGGGGTGCCCTGCAGGACCCCCATCAGGGGCTGGATGTTCCTCCCACAATCCTTCAGTGCACAGATATTAGCATATCTGCCTGCTTGCATCACCCAATTGGCTATTGGAGAAGCAAAGCAGGAAGGAGGAGTCTCTTTCCCTTCACCTTCTGCAGAGAAGTTA